CAACTCTTAACTCTTTCTTGAAAATTAGGTTTAAAGGGCACCTGGGTGGCTCAGTTGGTTAAGCATCCAACTCTCAACTTAGGCTCAGGTCATGATCTCATGGTTGGGTGAGTTCAAGCACCGAGTTGGTCTCTGCACTAAGTGGAGCTTGCTGTCTCTCCCCCTCTCTCTGTGGCCTTCCCCTGCACACACGTGTCCTCTCTCTCAAAACAAATAAATAAACTTAAAAAAAAATTAGGTTTAAAAAATTAGTATGAGTAGATCTGGTGAGGTAACTTTAATGTAATATTATATGTAACAGAATAAATGATTAAATTCACATATTTGAATTCAAGCAAGGATTTGTATAAGACCTATCAAAACAACTGGGTGGTTCAGATTTGTTTTAATTCAGTATTTTAATTTGTCAACCATTCTGTCATTTCTAGCAAAATCTGGAGAGTTAATGAAAGGAAATAAACTCCAAGCCACCTTAAAGGGCAAATTATCCTTTTATGAAACTTTATTTATTATTCCTATAGTTAATTTTTAAAAATAAACTCTTATTGGTTATTTCACTGAAAAAGTTGAGAATTATGTGTTCATCTTCTCACACACACAGACTGTATAAATACAACAGGAGTGGAATCTGACATATCAAAAAACAGGTCTTTTTTCTCATTAGAAAATTCCCAGAAGCCAACACCTACCCAGTTTTTTGTTTTTTCAACTTTATCCTGAAATTCTGTTCATTAAACTAAGAGCCAGACTTTTTTTTTTTTCAATTCTTTCTTACAAGGAAAGCACACACCCACACTTGCCTAGTCTTGTATTTTCTAAGAGCTATATGTGCAGATTAAATGATCTTGTATATAGACAATCCTAAGGAATCTACTAAAAAACTATTGGAATTAATTCAGTAAGTTTGTTGATTCAAAATCAGTATGCAAAAACCAAAAGTATTTGTAATGAACAATCAAAAATTGAAATAAAAATTCAATTCCATTTATAATAGTACCCCTCACATACATTACTCAAGAATAAACTTAATAAAAAAAATACAAGACTTATACTCTGAACACTATAAAACACCACTGAAAAAAATTACAAAAGATCTAAGTAATGGAAAAACATCCCATGTTCATGAACCAGAAGACTCAGTATGGTTAAGATGCAATACTGTCCAAATTTATTTATAGGTTCAATGCTATACTTATCAGGATCCCAGCTGAATTGTAAAAATTGACAAGCTGATTCTAAAATTTATACAGAGTTACAAAAGACCAAGAAGAGACAAAACTTGAAGAATAAATAGAAGGACTCACACTTCCTAATTCAAAGCTTACTACCACTACAAAGCAATGGTAAACAAGACATATTGGTCCATGGAACAGAACTGAGAGTACAGAAATAAACCGACATGCCTATGGTTTTCAGCAAGGGTGAAACCATTCAATGGAGAAAGACTAGTCTTTTCAACAAATGGTGCTGAGACAACTGGAGAGTTGTCACAAGCAAATGAACCAAGTTAAAACCCTTACCTCCCACCACCACATACAAAAATAAACACAAGGTGTGCTTGGGTGGCTCAGTCAGTTGGGCGTCTGACTTCAGACCGGGTCATGATCTCATAATCTGTGAGTTTGAGCCCTGCGTCGGGCTCTGTGCTGTCAGCTCAGAGCCTGGAGCCTGTTTCAGATTCTGTGTCTCCCTCTCTCTCTGCCCCTCCCCCACTCACTGTCTCTCTCAAAAATAAACAAACATAAAAAAAATAAACTCAAAATGAGTTAAAGATCTAATTTAATTGTAAGAACTAAAACTAGAGGCGGCTGGGTGGCTCAGTTGGTTAGGCGTCTGACTTCAGCCCAAGTCATGATCTCACAGTCTGTGCGTTCGAGCCCCGCGCTGGGCTCTGTGCTGACAGCTCAGAGCCCGGGGCCTGCTTCAGATTCTGTGGCTCCCTCTCTCTCTGCCCCACCCCTGCTCATGCTCTGTCTCTCTCTGTCTCAAAAATAAATAAAAACATTAAAAAAAAAAAGAACTAAAACTGTAAAATTCCCAAAAGAAAACACATAGGGGTAAATGTTCATGACTTGAGATTTGGCAATGGATTCTCAGGTATGACATCAAAAGCATGAGCAAAAGAAAAGATAAAATATATAAACCAGACTTCATCAAAATGAAAAACTTTTGTACCTCAAAGGGTACTAGCAAGATAGTGACACTATTAAGAAAAGACAACTGACAGAATGGGAGAAAATAGAGATCATCTATCTCAAAGGACTTCTATCTGGAATATACAAAGAACTCATACAGCTCAATAATAAAAAGACAAATAACCCAATTAAAAAAATGAGTAAAGGGGGTGGCTGGGTGGCTCAGTCGGTTGAGCGTCTGACTTGCGCTCAGGTCATGATCTCACAGTTCGTCAGTTTGAGCTCTGCATTCGGCTCTGTGCTGATAGATCATAGCCTGGAGCCTGCTTCTGATTCCGTGTCTCCCTCTCTCTCTGACCTCCCCTGCTCTCTCTCAAAAATAAATAAATGTTGGGGCACCTGGGTGGCTCAGTCGGTTGAGCATCCGACTTCAGCTCAGGTCATGATCTCACGGTCTGTGAGTTCAAGCCCCGCATCAGGCTCTGTGCTGACAACTCAGAGCCTGGAGCCTGCTTCGGATCCTGTGTCTCCCTCTCTCTCTGCCTCTCTCCTGCTCATTCTCTGCCTCTCTCTCTGTCAAAAATAAATAAACATTACAAAATAATAATAAATAAATAAATGTTAAAAATTTTTTTAAAAAAATGAGCAAAGGATCTGAATAGGCATTGTTCCAAAAGAAAAAAAAGACATACAAACAGCCAATAAGCTATTATCATCATACTGTAATTACAATTGTTTGCTTATACACTGGTCTTCTATATTAGAGCTAATTTTCTGAAGACAGGGAATATGTATACTATTCATCTTCAATTACTCTGGACTTGGCATGTAGCAGGGATCCAGAAAATGTCACATGTATTTGCACTGGAGACTTATTTTATATATGGGATACTAACAGGTACTAAAGACAAGAATAGAGTTAAACAGAAATATTTTGTAGAGATAAGATCACAAATTTTAAAGAATATAAAGCAATAAAAATAAACAGCAAGTACTTATACATGTAACACTAAACATCATTTTAAATGCTTTATATTAATTCAATTTTTGAACTCATAAGTAAAATAATCAATTACAAATAAAACTATGATTCCAATCAGTTGAGAAGCTCAGCTCAGAGAAGGCAGAAATCATTATTCAGTGAGGACCATCAGAAAAAATTTTGTTAGGGAAGTCTGTTAAATACAGTATAAGAACTGACTGGATAGCAAAAGAGCATGTACAGAATGTAAATGACATGTACAAATGGGACAGGAAAAGGGGAAGGATGTGGCATATGTGCAAGATAATAAAAAGAGAAGTGGCCTGACTTAAAAAGGTGTTTAGATAAAAGTAAGGAATAGTAAAGATCATAAGAATTTCTACATGTTTTCAAAAGCAAACTGGTATCATTTTAAGTTCCTTACACCAAAAAGAAATAGCAAGAAAGTTCAACTAGTTCAAGTGAAGCAGAAAAACAAATTCATAACGTTAACTACTTCAAGATGATAGTGTAAGGTGTGAAGTATAAGTATTAGAGTTCTGACAATGGGAATGAAGAAGGCTTATATCTAAGAGTTATTTTGAACCAAGAACCTGATAAATAGGAACTAGTGAGTAAAAAAACCAAGAAATCAAATATACTTCTTGAGGTTTCAAGAATTCTAAATAAAATACAGGGGGAACTACCCAGCAAATAGCCCATCTTACCCTCAAAGGAAAAAAACGATGATGTAAATTATTAGGTACTGGGGGAAGAAAGGGGAATTAGAATAAAAGACTTAAAATTGAAATTCATAGAACTCTAAGAGGTAAAGCAGATGAACTTTCTAAGGGCAAAACTGTGGAATAGTGATTACAATACTTAATTAGAATTCTCTGAAGGCTAAACTAACTACGTTTACTACATTACTCTTGCCCTACCCAGCCTGAGACAAAATAAAAGTAGGGGATAATAGTTACACATTAAGAGACATAACAGCGGCGCCTGGGTGGCTCAGTTGGTTGAGCGCATCTGACTTCGATTCAGGTCATGATCTCATGGTTTGTGGGTTCAAGCCCCACATCGGGCTCCGTGCTGACAGCTTGGAGCCTGCTTCGGATTCTGTGTCTCTATCTCTGCCCCTACCCTGCTCACTCTCTCTCTTTCTCTCTCAAAAATAAATAAAAAAACATTAAAAAAAGAGAAACGTAACAGTAAAATATTTTCCGTGGATGTTGATGGGCGCTATATTTTTTTTAATATATGAAATTTATTGTCAAATTGGTTTCCATACAACACCCAGGGCTCATCCCAAAAGATGCCCTCTTCAATACCCATCACCAACCCTCCCCTCCCCCCCACCCCGCCAATGGGCCCTATTTTAAACACTGACTATAAGCCGATATTACGGGAAATATTTTAATAGGTTAGGGTATTATTAGATGATCCAGAAATTACTGTTAGGCCTTAAACCCTGTGGTACTTATAAATGATTTAATAAATTCATAAATAAATTTTAAAACATTTAAGGAAAAGTCTGTGAACAAAGCAACTTAAGAGCACTACTTTTTAATTCAGATAAAACCTTTTATGGTGGGAAGGAATGAGAACTTAGATGAATAAACAGGGAGTTGAAAACTAGTAATGACAGTATGTTTAAATATAATATATCTCAAAACAAAAGTTTAAATGAAGGCAAGGAGGATCCAGAATATAGTGGTACTTTCTGATCTTTATTTTTGCTCTCACTAAATCAGAGAAATAAAATCTTTCAACTCCCTCTTCCCCCAACAACTGAGTGTGCTTTCTACCATTGTTTCCTTTTGCATGGTTCGATGTTATCCACCTTGGCATTCCTTTTCAGATGTGACTTAAGCTCAATAATTATTTAGGGGAAGACTTACACTGGTCACTCGACGGTAGATCTGCGCAGCATTTTGGCACTCTGAGTAAGGGTATTCAGATGTGGCCATCTCAAGCATGCACATCCCAAAAGCATAAACATCAACAGATTCATCATATTTTTCCTCATACATCTCAGGGGCCATGAACTCTGGGGTACCTTAAATTAAAAGAACAATTCAGATTTAATGTGAGCAGAAGCTACAGATGTTTCTCACCTGGGGGAGAAGCAGAGGGTTGACCTGTGAGAGAGAAGAATGTGGAGGGAACGGAAGGGAAGAGAGAAGAGGAGGGAAGGGGGGAGGGAAGAGGGGAGGGAAGGGAATGGAAGGAGAGGGAATGGAATGGAAGGAGAGGGAAGAGAGAGTAGAGTGGCAGGAGCAGGGAGGAAGAATAAAAACTTAGTCTGTCCCACCAAGTATCTTATAGATCTTCTGCTGCATGGCCTTCATAAAAGAAACTGGAACAGGGTCAAGTGTCTGTTTACTGTTCCAAACGGATTACTGTTATACAATGTCAAAATAGAGACTTGGATATGAGATAAATTAATATAACTCATCATGAAAACAAATGGAAGGAAAAGGTAAGAGACTAGAAAGAAATAGAGATATAATGGCACCAGTAAGACAGGACAAGTTAAAAAAAGATCAAAATACTTGTCTGCCCTCTACTGTATGGTAGATGCAAGGATAATATTCACAGCTAATTTTTTGCCATTAACATTCCACCTGATCAGTTTCACTTTTTTAAGGCGACCTTGCAGTGAAAAATCTAATATTCAGTGTTTTTTAAAAGAATAAAGTGTAATTGTCAAAAAGGCCACTCTCCAGAGCCCCTTTCTTCACAGACTTACCATACCACCTGCAGTACACAAATAAGCCTACTGCATATAAAGAAATATAGTAAGGGACATTTTACAGGCAAAAACCAAACACACACAAATAGAGAACTTAAATACAGACTGAGTTATGAGCATAGCACGTGTGATTCCATAGACCAGGTTTTCTGATGTTTCCAAAGAAATTAATTCTGGGTACTTCAAATTATAGGATATTTCCAAGAACAGGCTTACACACAATGATTTAAGCAAAATAGGAAAAAAAAAACCACCTCTCCCAGGTTAGAGATTTTTAAGGTGCTAAAAAGTCAAAGAAATAAATGTTTCCTTTTCCTATAACAAGACAAAAAAGGAAATTCAGCTTTAAATAACTTTCCCAATTCTTCTTGTTAATCTGTATTAAGAAAATTTAAAAACAGGGGTGCCTGGGTAGCTCAGTCGGTGAAGCGTCCAGCTTCAGCTCAGGTCATGATCTCATGGTCCTGTGAGTTCAAGCCCTGTGTTGGGCTCTGTGCTGGCAGCTCAGAGCCTGGAGCCTGCTTCGAATTCTGTGTCTCCCTCTCTCTCTGCCCCTGCTCATGGCTCTGTCTCTCTCTGTCTCAAAAAGAAATTAAAAAAAAAAAAAAAAAAACAAAAGAAATTTAAAAAAAAAATTTAAAAAACAGCATTCCTAATCCAAGTCACATAATATTCTATTTTTTTTTTAATGTTTACTTATTTTTGAGAGAGAAAGAGACTGACTGACTTAGTGTGAGCAGGGAAGGGGCAAAGAAAGAGGGAGACACAGACTCCAAAGCAGGCTCCAGGCTCTGAACTGTTAGCAGAGAGCCAGGCGTGGGGCTCTAATTCATGAACTGTGTGATCATGACCTCAGCTGAAGTCAGACACACTTAACTGACTGAGCCACCTGGGTACCCCTGTAAAGAGAACACTATTTGATAAGAATGTATACATTACTGGTGTTATATAGTTTTCTTATTAACACGTAAAATTCTAGCCCACTTAAAAATGAATGGTTTCCCTGTTGTTGCCATCTTTGAGAGGGAGAATAAAGTATATGTGATTTCAAGTGTTCAAACTGTCATGTCCTCTTCAGAGAGTGAAAGCTTACCAAAATAGTAAGCATTAAATTATTTTCCCAGCTGCAAGACTCTAACATGTAGTTGAAAGTCTGAAAGGACAGCCTTGTTCTTTAGATCAGTGATTCTTAACAAGAGGGGACAATTTTGTTACCAGGGGACATTTTGCAATGTCCTGAGACATTTTTGGTTTTAACAACTGGCTGGTGGGGTTGGGGGGGGAGATGAGTTTAAAGGGGGTGTGGTGTGCTCCTGGCATCATCCAAATAATCTTACAATGAACAAGAAAGCCCTTACAACAAAGAACTATCCAACCCCAAATACCACTAAGGTTGAAAAAAAGTCTCGTTTCAGATATATCTTCTGAAGCTAACTATAAGAAAATAATTGAGAAAACCAAGCTTTCAGAACTCTTATTTTCACATTTTAAAATAAAGTCTTAATAGGTAGATACTTTTGAATAATAATATATATCTAATACTTTTTTTAGAAACTAAACTGCATATAAATTCAGTTACCTTTATAGGAAAGTAACTATATTTATTACATACATAATTATATAATACTAAGTATCAACAGGATAACCCAGTAAGATTGATAGTTACATAAGGTTTTATCAACAAAGTTCACGTTACTTCTCATGATTTTACAAAACATCGTTAGTCTTCAAGATGATTCTAGAAGCATACAGAGAACTCCACATCTCATAAGTAGAAACGATCACTTCCTGAGTTCAAGCTATGAATTTCTGAAGGTTTATTTCACATAATAAAAGCTCTGAGAGGGTCAAGTTTCTAAATAAAAGGAATATCAGAAACCCAGCTAGGATGCAAGGTACACCTGAAACATACCTATCACACTCTTGGCAAAAGAAGCCCGCTTCAGAGTTGCCAGACCTAGGTCTCCAATCTTGACTGAGCCTGTAGGGCCAGTGATAAAGATGTTGTCACACTTAAGATCTCGGTGAATAATAGGCGGAGTTCGGGTATGAAGAAACTGAAGTCCTTTTAGGATCTGACGGCACCAGCTTCTTAGAACTTTGATCTTCATCACCTTAAACCTTTTCAGATACCTAGAGAAGGCAAAGTATACCAAACAGGTTATCAATGATACGAGGTTGCTGCTTTGAAGAATTCCATTAAATTCTAACATATCTGAGATGGGAGTATCAAATTTACAATATTAAGATTCAGTAACCTTAAAGGTTAGTGATACTTTTAGCAAAGTTAAAGGGGAAAGGATGATAATAAGTGGTTGGTAAATGAATTCTAATAACAAAGCACAAAAAAATGAATTCCTTAAAATTGGGTCACTACTAAAATAACTTAAAAGTTAAGAGGTAGAAAAATAAACAACACATATAAAAATAAAAAATAAAAGTTAAGGGGTAGAGTTTGACTTCTGGTAAATGGTGGAATAATTCTTACTAGACACAGATATAATTATAAACTGTAGTAAAAATATACAAAAAACAACTACCTCAAGGCTCTGGAGAGCAATCAAAATCTGGCATAAATTGGAAGGGAGTTCATATTAGGGAAAAAAGAAAGCACTGCTTGAGTTTCTATTTTCTAAATCTCCTCAGCTGAGGAAAGGCTCCTGCCTGACTCTGTAGGTCAGCTCAAATCTAAATAGAAGCCTACAGCCTTATTAGCTGAGGAATGGAGGACAGAGTTCAAGATGACCATAGCAGCTAGAACAGTGCTATCCAACAGAACTTTCTATCATGATAGTCTGCTTAATATAGTATTCACTAAATAAATGTGAATATACTTAAATACAAATTAATTAAAATTAAAAAATCTATTTTTCAGCTGCACTAGCCACATTTCAAGTGCTCAACAGCCACATGTGTCAAGTGATTACCATTTGGATAGTACAGATATAAAACATTTTCATCACCACAGAGAGTTCCAGTGGACAGGACAGAGAAGTGTGATACTGAAGAGAAGCCCCAAATCCTGCATATTCATTCTGCCCAAATCTCTGGTTGACCTCTGAAATATGTATATGTGGAGCAGCAGATTGAAAGCAGCCCAGCTAATGCTAAACGAATGGAACAGAGATTTCTGATGCTACTCACTGAGGGAAAGATAAAGTTTCTGGATTGGCTTTTTTTCTGAAAATATTCAGGAAAAGTATGAAGATATAAAAGATTACATTAGCCTCATGCTATCTTTAAAATACATATGGCTAATTAAAGGACAATTTATAACACTGTATTATAGGTTCTATAGAATATGTGAATATAGCATACATAAAAATTATATAGCATAAAAAACAAGTATTAGGGATAATTGAAACTTTATCTGTGTAAGGTTCCTTTACTTTACATGAAATTGTACAGTATCAACCCAAAGTTTATTGTGAAAAGTTACAGATATAAACACAATCTCCACAGCAACTGTTTTAAAACACACACACACACACACACACACACACACACACACACACACACAGGTTTTAACTAAAAAGCTAATACAGGAACTAAAATGAAATTCTACTTCCCTTGGATGAGGTAATCAAAGAAATCTAATGGTGAAAGTTGGTTTTATAGTTTAAACAAATATTGAAACATAGTTACCTCTGGAGGGTGAGGAAGGGCTACCCAGGAAGAGCCATAAGAGCATTTACTAAGATAATAAGAATGTTCTATAACTTAATAGTTTTTACTGCATGAGTGAATGCTTTTGTCAAAACTCACAGAATGATACCACTGTTACACTTTTCACTGTACTCAAATTTCACTGTAAGGAAAAACAAAGCATATAAATACAGTATGAGAACTCTAATGAAATGAGCACTTAAGTGTTTACATGTGAAATATTACTGATGCAACAACTTATTCTGGAATGAACAAAATTAAGATAGGGGAATAATCAGATGGACATATGTGGTAAAGTAAATACGGCAAGTTAATAAACTACAGAATCTAGGGAGTGAATATGTGTGTTCATTGTGTAATTCTTTCAACTTTTCTGTATAACTGAAAAATTGTTTAATAAAATTTTGGGGATAAGTTGAGTCTGTATCATTTATAAAATGATCAAGTATATAAAATATAATAGGTAACTATATCTTAACCTTGTATCTCTTAACTTCATTAAATTTGTTTAGAATCACTGGAATTTTCTATGTAAACAATTACATAATCTGCAATCAAGGGCAATGGTATTATTTCTTCCTTTCCAATCTTTATGCCCGTAATACTAGTTTTCCCTATATTTATGCTTTATTGCAGTGGGTGGGCCTCTAAAACCACAGTGAATGTAAGTGGTTAAAAAAAGCATTCTTGCTTTGTTCCTCATCTCAGGGGAAACAGTTAAGCTCAACATTAGCTATAGGCTTTTTGGTGGAAGTTGTTTCTCAGTTTGAAGAAGTTCCCCACTACTCCTAGTTTGAATAAGAGTTTTTAGCCACAGATAGATACTGAATTGTCAAATACTTTTACACATATTTTGAAATGATCATATGAATTTTCTCCTTTATTCTGTTAATGTGGTGAATAACATTGATTAATTCAATGTTAAACCAACTTTGTGATACCCTCTTTGATTTTCATATATTGGATTGCTGGATCCAATTTGCTATTATTTTGTAAAGGATCTTTGCATTGATATTCATGAAGGAGATTGCTCTTTAAAAATTTCTTTTTCAAGGGAGCCTGGGTGACTCAGTCGTTTAGTGACCAACTGCGGCTCAGGTCATGATCTCACGGTTCCTGAGTATAAGCCCTGCATCCAGCTCTATGCTGTCAGCGCAGTGGCCACTTCCCACTTCAGATCCTTTGTCTCCCTCTCTCTCTGGCCCTCCCCCGTACACCCTGTCTCTCAAAAATAAGTAAACATTTGAAAAAAAAATTAGAAAAAAATTTCTTTTCCTATGTATCAAGTTTTTGAGAAAATTCAACACAGTGGATTTCCCATTTTAAGACAAAATGCACATAATATATACCATTTAACTAATTAATTATTTGAGAGAGAATGCACGTCCGAGTCGGGGAAAGGGGAAGAGGGACACAGAGTATCTTTTTTTAAAAATATTTTTTAAATGTTTCTTTTTTGAGGGGGGGGGGGGGCAGAGATAGAGGGAGACAAAGAATCTGAAGCCAGAGCCAGGCTCTGAGCTGTTAGAACAGAGGCTGATGCAGGGCTGGAACTCACCAACAGCAAGATCATGACCAGAGCTAAAGTCAGATGCTTAACTGACTGAGCTGCCTAGGCTCCCTTAAAAGGGAGAATATCTTTTTTTTTTTTTAATTTTTATTTATTTTTCAGACAGACAGACAAACAGACAGACACAGAGTGCAAGTGGGGGAGGGACAGAGAGAGAGGGAAACACAGAATCTGAAGCAGGCTCCAGAGCCTGGAGGCTTGAACCCACAAACCATGAGACCGTGACCTGAGCCAATGCCCAACTGACTGAACCACCCAGGTGCCCCAAGAGAGAGTATCTTAAGCAGGCTCCACACTCAGTGCAGATCCCGTGACCCTGGATCATGACCTGAGAAGAAATCAAGAGTCAGACACTCAACTGACTGAGCCACCCAGACACCCCAATATTTACCATTTTACAGTGATACTAAGTAATTCATACTATTAGAAAATCATCACCACCATCTATCTCCAGAACTCTCTTCATCTTAAAAACTGAAACTTTAGGGGCGCCTGGGTGGCGCAGTCGGTTAAGCGACCGACTTCAGCCAGGTCACGATCTCGCGGTCCGTGAGTTCGAGCCCCGCATCGGGCTCTGGGCTGATGGCTCAGAGCCTGGAGCCTGTTTCCGATTCTGTGTCTCCCTCTCTCTGCCCCTCCCCCGTTCATGCTCTGTCTCTCTCTGTCCCAAAAATAAATAAACATTGAAAAAAAATTAAAAACAAAACAAACAAAAAAAAAAAACCTGAAACTTTATACCCATTAAACAGTAATTCCCAAAAACCTTCTCCATTTGGGCTCTGGCAACTCTCATTCCACTTTGTGTTTCTATGAATTTGACTACTCTAGGTAACTCATAAAGTGAAATCAAACAGTATATCTGTATGTGACTTTCTGTGACTGGCTTATTTCACGTCACACAACGCCCTCAAGGTTCACTTGTATTACAGCATATGTTAGAACTTCCTTACCATTTAAGGCTAAAAAATATTCCACTGTACATATATACCACATTTTGATTATCCATTCTTTCCTTAATGGACCCTTGGGCTGCTTCTACCTTTTAGCTACTGTGAATAATGCTGCTATAAATATGAGTATACAAATATCTCTTTGAGACTCTGCTTTCATTCTTTTAGGTATAAACCCACAAGTGAAAGTGTTAGATCTTATGGTAATTAAGTAGAAATATTATTGACATATAACATTATATTTATCTCAGATGTACAACATGATTGATTTCAAGATGATTGGTATATACTGCAAAATGGTCACCACAATAAGTCTAGTTAACATCTATCACCACACAGATATTTTTTCTTATGAGAACTTTTAAGATTTACTCTCTTAGCAACTTTCAAATACACAATAGAGCATTATTAACTATAGTCACTATGCTGTACATTACATCCCCAAAACTTATTTTATAACTAAAAGCTTGTACCTTTTGACCACCGTCACCCATTATACACATTCCACTTCCATCCTTGCACCTATGGCAATCACCAATCTGTTCTCTGTATTTATGAGTTTGGTTTTTGTTGTTGGGTATTTTATTTTTCATTTTTCTTAGATTCACACAGAAGTGAGATCATACAGTATTTGTCTTTATCTGACTTCTTTAACTTAGCATAATGCTTTCCAAGTCCATCCACAATGTTACAAATGGCAAAATTTTCTTTTTTATGGATGAATAATATAATAATCTATTGTATATACAGATTGTGTACATACATGCATACACACACACCACCTCTTCTTTATCCATTCATCCATTGATGGACACTTAGGTTACTTCCATGGCTTGGCTGCTGTAAATAAAGCCGTTATGAGCACGGGGTACATATATCTTTTCTTTTTTTTTTTTTTTTATTTTTTTTTCAACGTTTATTTATTTTTGGGACAGAGAGAGACAGAG